CAGCGGGACTCTGTCTTTCATTTTTGGCAAAATGCAGTTTATAGTGAGGACGGATTTGCAAGCAATTCGACAGTTCAAACGACTGCACAATCTGATCAGCTTAGGGGTCTGTTCCTTGATATAGGGTATGACAGCAAAACCAGGTCTGGAATTTGGGATGGTGGTTGTATCGTTTGAATTGGTGTTGTCGTTGGGAATTCTATCAGTTCTGTTATTAGGGGTTGTGAGACTATTACTTGTATCATTAGAGTTTGGCAAAATACTGGGAGGTGAACTAAATAAGATCTTGTTAATCAGACACTTCGGATAACCATTGTTAATGAACAGTTTTGATAGTTTACGTAAATTTGAAGTGTGGAAAGTATTATCTGAGATGCTGATTACCCTTGTTTTCATCTGTTTCACCAAGTTGATTTTAATCCCTAGCTTATGGTATGACCTAAAATTGAGAAACCGGTCTGAAGCCATAGGTTTCTGGTACCAGTCTACCAATAAACTATTGTTGTTGGTGCGGATGAGTCTTGTGTCTAGAAAGGGGACAGACAGGTTCTCATCTTCTTTTTAAATGGTAAATTGGATGTAGGGGTCATAGCTGTTCGATTCTCCGACAATACCATCCAGACCTCTGGAGGGGAGGCATAAAATAATGTCATCTACGTATTTTTTTATGAAGAAGAGGTTATAGGGTTGGACCTCTTTGTGTAGCCTTGTATTACCTCTAATCGCATCGAGTTGCCTCTGAACCTGGTCGAATTGTCTTGAATCTCTTTGGATTGGCTTTCTTCTTCTTGGATTACCTCGGACCACCTTCAATTGCCTCTGAATCTCTGATCTTATTAGATTCCGTCGGATCCCCTTGAATTGCCTCGGATCTCGCTGGATTCCAAATGGATTACGGTTTTTTACATAGGTCAAAAATGTGACAATAACATGTTCCTTCTTTCATCACAAAGTTAAACTCGCCTTTATAAATAAAACTGATGGACGGGAGCATGCGTTTTGTCCCAAGAATGATTGCCAGCGACTGTTCTATCAGTGTTCAGGAACATAGTTCCTTGAAAGGTAAGATAACCACGCCCACTTTTTCTCAGTTGTTCTACTTCCACATTCCAAAAATTAACTCCCTAGTTCTCTGAGTACTGGTACTGTACTTGGTAGTATCGAAAACCTTTCCTTATTAACAGTGGAATCGCCTCTCTTATATTCCCGTACGCCCCTCTATGTGTTTATGCGATTCGGGGTATTACATTTGTGTCCGCTTTTATGTGTGTTCGCCAGGCACCGACGGGCTTCGAAATATGTATATTTGATGCAGTCCGGACTGATGTAGATGGGGCATGGACGTATAGAGACTGCTGGAGCTGCCAGCTTCTGCGGGAGAGAACTTATAGAGAATTCAGTTTGTAACAAACGACTGACACTTCATTATGGATGAATTTCGACGAGCTAGCCCTTATTTTTCATGACTCTCGTGGGTAGCCTGGATAATTTTTTATGTACCATGGCTTTGAGAATATCAAATTTAAACAGAAGCTGCCTCTAGGTCTTCAATGATGAATGGTATAGGATAGTAGGGCTAGCTGATACAGGGGTTATTGCCTTATTTACGCTATTATTGTCAATTTAACACCTGAAACGAATCATGTAGCTTTCATGTTGATTGGATTCTATTGTTGTCTGGCTGCTAATTCAAACCATATATATATATATATATATCAATCACTGTTTACTGTCATTGTACTTGAAAAAGGCCACCGTTGTGACCGGAATGTCGTACAATAGTACTGTCCATCTTTTACCGTCAAGACTTTGGCAAACCAAGGTGTTTACGAAACATTGGTTACGTTAAAGGGTGCGTTATTAAGAATTGAAAAACAAAGTTCTCAAATAAACTGGTGGCATCTGGCTTGTGGGACCCCTATGGGGGTGCATTGCGATGGGGATGTAAGTGATTATCATATGAACTTTCTTGATACGGTATGCGGAAAGGACATATGCTATAAAATAATTAACCAGGTTTACCTTTTAGTTGGTCAACTGCGGTTAGGGGAGGCTTCTCATTGGTGTTTTGCGGTGGCAGGTGCGGTGAAGATCGAATACGTAGATACAAGAATTAATCTAGTTTGTAAATTGGGAAATTAGACATACACACGCTGATATTAAACTTCTTATTCTATGCGGTGATGACACATAACTCTATCTCCTCTTCTTTTATAGCAAGCGCAAGGAAAGAAGGAACGGTGTGATAAAAATATAAGAAAGATCAGTGAAGTAGACTTAAACTGACCTGAATTACTTTTCGGAGGCTTGAAGCCAAAGGTTTAAACTTTAGTTCCGATATATGAAAACCTTAAACATAATCATTCTTTGAGCGAGCTTTTATTTTCAATACACAAAGGCAGCCGCATAGATAGACGCCTAAATACTGGGGCATCATCTCGAATGCTATGATATTACTTTTTTGATAGTCATGTATAGTCATGCCATAAGTTCTGTCCCTCGTTTTCAAACAAGTGTAGACCTGTTAATACTTGTCCGATTGTTTACATTGTGGTGCCAGTTGATTAAGCGCTTTTCGGGTAATTACATATACCTCAGTTTGTATTGATCTCTCGAAGCATAACGATGGAGTGGGGCAAGGCAGAGAACCGTATTGCAGTGATAGCTTTACATAAGTGTAATCACAGTGCTAGTCAGATTTTTGAACTCTTACGCGGCCTTCAAATATCGCGTAAATTTGTGTCTAGGACCATTCAGCGGTACAATGAGACGTCCTCTGTTGATGACAGGCCAAGAAGCGGAAGACCTCGTCAAGTAAGGACTCCAGCAGCCATCAAAGCCGTAAAAGCCAGGATTCAAAGGAATCCACTCCGGAAGCAGAAGATCCTATCCAGGGAAATGAAGATTCCTGTCCGGACGATGTCGCGCATCATTAAACAAGACCTAGGGCTAGGGGCTTACCGGAGACGTACGGGCCAGCGACTTACGGCTACCTTGCGACACATCAGGGCGACAAGATCCAAGAAGCTCTTGGAGAGGTACGCAGCTGGGGGATTCCGAAAGATTTTGTTCACGGATGAGAAAATCTTCACCATAGAAGAAAAATTCAACCGACAAAATGACAAAGTGTATGCAAGGAGTTCACAGGAAGCTTCGGAGATCATTCCGAGAGTTGAGAGAGGCCACCACCCTGCGTCAGTCATGGTTTGGTGGGGGGTGTCCTACGAAGGGGTCACTCAGCTCCATTTCTGTAAACAGGGCGTGAAAACAAAAGCGGCAAACTATCAGAGCGACATACTGGATCCTATCGTCAAGCCTTTAAGTGGTACATTGTTTGCCAACCAACACTGGGTCTACCAGCAGGATTCCGCCCCCGCTCACAAGGCTAAGAGTACGCAGCGCTGGCTGGAAAGCAATGTGCCAGAGTTCATTGCTGCGGAAGATTGGCCCTCAGGGAGTCCGGACCTCAATCCTTTAGACTACAAGTTGTGGGACCTGCTAGAGCAGTTGGCCTGCTCCAAAGCCCACCGTAATATCGAGTCCCTGAAAGCGGATTTGATCCGATCAGCGGCAGCTATTCCTTTGGAAGCTGTGCGTGCAGTGATAGATGAGTGGCCCGCGAGATTGAAGCAGTGTGTGAAGGCCAAGGGGGGACATTTTGAATAAAACTGTTTGATTATGAATTCTAAAAATGTTGTCGAATAAATAATATCTTTCATATAAATATATCTTATCTTGTTTCATTTTTATCATGAGATTATCATGGGACAGAACTTATGGCACGACACGTACACCTTAGCGCAGTATATCTCATTTTGACAAAAGCTCTGAGAGCGAAGATTATGATAGAGCCTCTCTAGATACTATCTCGATGGCTACTGCAGGTCTAGAAATCTAAAAAGACTGTGTGGCAAAGAATAATGTGATAGAAATAGTGAAAAGTGAAGGTGAGAGCAAACTGCAAGCAGACAGCAGTGTTCAAGTCATGGATTTAACTAATAGCAGGTATTCTGATGAACGAAATAAGTACAATGATATCTAAGGACATCTAACCAAAGAACACTCATCTTTTTCTTCTTGATATGAGACGCTGATCATAGACTATAAGGATTTTGGCATGTATGATGGCAAAAGGTCTATTTATTTGTACAGTAGATCCATGAAGCAGGAAGAATAATTGCTGCTCAATACCTTAATAAATCTACAAGTTCGAATGACAAAACAACTCAAATGAAATTATGCTATACGTTTCCAGAAATTATTGAATCTAAAGAGTCAATGCGACCCAACAATGGCACATGCAAAGAATTGTACGTAATCGTAGCGTCGAACGGAGATGTGCCCGTTTAAAAAGAAAAAATCATCTGACATCATAGCGAACAAAATGAGAGAAAGCTTCTGATTCAAGTGAAGGAGAACGATGGACACCAGCATGGGCAAAATTTTTGTCGAAAGCATGAAAAGGAGGAAAATAAAACTCTCTGAATTCCACCAAAGTCCCATTTCTTCAAATCAAGGTTTTAGTGATGGACAAATTCCTTTTGAGCCGCGGTCATATCTCTCGAGAAAGTGCAAGACCTCGAGAACCAAGAGCATCAGGTCCAAGTGAAACGGAAACGTCTTGAGTTAACAAGAAGGTTGGTGAGGCAACTCCGTGAGGTAAGTAAGGTGGGTGAAACTTTGGCGGCATTTCCTAAGTGCGATTTTCAGTAAGGATGGCAGGACAATCGCTAACAAGCGAAATAAAGTTTGAAGATCCATCCCCGTTTGTACTGATGTTAAAGTAATTAAAATGGATACGCTTACAAGTCTGGCTTTTGGGTGTCAGAGGAAGGCTAGGTGATGTTGCATATTACTTTTTTTGATATTCATGTATACCTTAGAGTAGTATATCTCATTTTGGCAAAAACTCTAAGAGCAAATTAGTGTCATCTGTATAGTCAAAAAAGATTCTGTTAGAGCTTCACTAGATTCTATCTCGATGATTACTACAGATCTAGAAATCTAAAAAGACTGTGTAGCAGACAATGATGTGATAGAAACAATGAAAAGTGAAGGTGAGAGCAAACTGCAAGCGGACAGCAGTTTTCAAGTCATGTATTTAACTACTAGCAGGCATTCTGATGAACGAGACAATAACAATGATTTCTAAGGACATCTAACCAAAGAACACTCATCTTTTTATTCTTAATATGAGACGGTGATCATAGGCTATAAGGATCTTGGCATGTAAAATGGCAAAAGGTCTATTTGTTTCTCCAGCAGACGCAAAAAGCAGAAAGAATAATATTGCTGCTCAAGACCGGAATAAATCTACAAGTTTGACAACTCAAATAACATTACGCTATACGTTTCCAGAAGTCTTGGAATCGAAAGAGTCAATACGACCCAATAATGAAACGTGCAGAGAATTGTACGTAATCGTAGCGTCGAACGGAGATGTGCCCGTTTAAAAAGGAAAAATCATCTGATATCATAGCGAAAAAAATGAGAGAAGGCTTCTGATTCAAGTGAAGGAGAACGATGGGCATCAGCATGGGCAAATTTTTGCCGAAAGCATGAAAAGGAGGAAAAGAAAGCTCTCTGAATCCCACCAAAGTCCCATTTCTTCAAATGAAGGTTTTACTGATGGACAAATTCTTTTTGAGCCATATGAAAAGAACCGTGGCCATGTCTCTCGAGAAAGTGCAAAACCTCGAGAACCCAGAGCATCAGGTCCAAGTGAAACGGAAACGTCTTGAGTTAACAAGAAGATTGGTGAGGCAACTCCGTGAGGTAGGTAAGGTGGGTGAAACTTTGGCAGCATTTCCTAAGGCGGATGGTGCGATTTACAGTAAGGATGGCAGCACAATCGCTAACAAGCGAAATAAAGTTTGAAGATCCATCCCCGTTTGTACTGATGTTAAAGTAATTAAAATGGATACGCTTACAAGTCTGGCTTTTGGGTGTCAGAGGAAGGCTAGGTGATGTTGCATATTACTTTTTTTGATATTCATGTATACCTTAGAGTAGTATATCTCATTTTGGCAAGAACTCTAAGAGCAAATTGGTGTCATCTGTATAGTCAAAAAAGATTCTGTTAGAGCCTCACTAGATACTATCTCGATGATTACTACAGATCTAGAAATCTAAAAAGACTGTGTAGCAAAGAATGATGTGATAGAAACATTGAAAAGTGAAGGTGTCAGCAAACTGCACGCGGACAGCAGTGTTCCAGTCATGGATTTAACTACTAGCAGGTATTCTGATGAACTAGACATAAACAATGATATCTAAGGACATCTAACCAAAGAACACTCATCTTTTTATTCTTAACATGAGACGGTGATCATAGGCTATAAGGATCTTGGCATGTATGATGGCAAAAGGTCTATTTGTTTCTCCAGCAGACGCAAAAAGCAAAAAGAATAATTGCTGCTCAAGACCAGAATAAATCTACAAGTCCGAATGACAAAACAACTCAAATAAAATTACGCTATACGTTTCCAGAAATCTTGGAATCGAAAGAGTCAATACGACCCAATAATGAAACATGCAGAGAATTGTACGTAATCGTAGCATCGAACGGAGAGTGCCCGTTTAAATTGAAAAAAATCATCTGATATAATGGCGAACCAAATGAGAGAAAGCTTCTGATTCAAGTGAAGGAGAACGATGATCATCAGCATCGGCAAAATTTTTGTCGAAAGGAGGAAAAGAAAACTCTCTGAATCCCACCAAAGTCCTATTTCTTCAAATGGTTTTACTGAGGGACAAATTCCTTTTGAGCCGTATGAAAAGAACCGTGGCCATGTCTCTCGAGAAAGTGCAAGACCTCGAGAACCTATACCATCAGGTCCAAGTGAAACGGAAACGTCTTGAGTTAACAAGAAGATTGGGGAGGCAAGTGAGGTAAGTAAGGTGGGTGAAACTTTGGCGGCATTTCCTAAGGCGGATGGTGCGATTTACAGTAAGGATGGCAGCACAATCGCTAACAAGCGAAATAAAGTTTAAAGATCCATCCCCGTTTGTACTGATGTTAAAGTAATTAAAATGGATGCGCTTACAAGTTTGGCTTTTGGGTGTCAGAGGAAGGTTAGGTGATGTTGCATATTACTTTTTTTGATAGTCATATATACCTTAGAGTAGTATATCTCATTTTGGCAAAAACTCTGAGAGCAAATTAGTGTCATCTGTATAGTCAAAAAAGATTCTGTTAGAGCTTCACTAGATTCTATCTCGATGATTACTACAGATCTAGAATTCTAAAAAGACTGTGTAGCAAAGAATGATGTGATAGAAACAGTGAAAAGTGAAGGTGAGAGCAAACTGCAAGCGGACAGAAGTTTTCCAGTCATGGATTTAACTACTAGCAGGTATTCTGATAAACGAGACAAGAACAATGATATCTAAGGACATGTAACCAAAGACCACTCATCTTTTTATTCTTAATATGAGACGGTAATCATAGGCTATAAGGATCTTGACATGTATCATGGCAAAAGGTCTATTTGTTTCTCCAGCAGACGCAAAAAGCAGAAAGAATAATTGCTGCTCAAGACCGAAATAAATCTACAAGTTCGAATGACAAAACAACTCAAATAAAATTACGCTATATGTTTCCAAAAATCTTGGAATCGTAAGCGCCAATAGAACCCAAAAATGAAACGTGCAGAAGATTGTACGTAATCGTAGCGTCGAACGGAGACGTGCCCGTTTAAAAGGAAAAAAATCATCTGATATCGTAGCGAACAAAATGAGAGAAGGCTTCTGATTCAAGTGAAGGAGAACGATGGGCATCAGTATGGGCAAATTTTTGTCGAAAGCATGAGAAGGAGAAAAAGAGAACTCTCTGAATCCCACCAAAGTCCTATTTCTTCAAATGAAGGTTTTTTTACTGATGGACAAATTCCTTTTGAGCCGTATGAAAAGAACCGTGGCCATGTCTCTCGAGAAGGTGCAAGACCTCGAGAACCCAGAGCATCAGGTCCAAGAAGATTGGTGAGGCAACTTCGTGAGCAGTAAGGTAGATGAAGCTTTGGCGGCATTTTCTGAGGCGGATGGTGCGATTTACGGTAATGATGGCAGCACAATCGATAACAAGCGAAATAAAGTTTGAAGATCCATTCCCGTTTGTACTGATGTTAAAGTAATTAAAATGGATACGCTTACAAGTCTGGCTTTTGGGTGTCAGAGGAAGGTTAGGTGATGTTGCATATTACTTTTTTTGATAGTCATTTACACCTTAGAGTAGTATATCTCATTTTGGCAAAAACTCTGAAAGCGAATTGATGTCATCTGTATAGTCAAAAAAAATTCTAATAGAGCCTCACTAGATACTATCTCGATGATTACTACAGATCTAGACATCTAAAAAGACTGGGTAGGAAAGAATAATGTGATAGATATTGTGAAAAGTGAAGGTGAGAGCAAACTGCAAGATATCAATATTCCAGTCATGGATTTAACTGAAAGCAGGTATTCTGATGAACTAGACATAAACAATCAGCTAAGGACATCTAACCAAAGAACACTCATATTTTTCTTTCTTAAAATGAGACTGTGATCATAGGCTATAAGGATCTTGGCGTATATGATGGCAAAAGGTCTATTTATTCCTGCAGTAGATGCAAAAAGCAGAAAGAATAATTGCTGCTCAAGACCGCAATAAAACTACAAGTTCAAATGACAAAACAACTCAAATAAAATTACGCTATACGTTTCCAGAAATCCTGGAATCGAAAGCGCCAATACGACCCAAAAATGAAACGTGCAGAAAATTGTACGTAATCGTAGCGTCGAACGGAGATGTGCCCGTTTAAAAAGAAAAAAATCATCTGATATCATAGCGAACAAAATGAGAGAAAGCTTCTGATTCAAGTGAAGGAGAACGATGGGCAGCATGGGCAAAATTTTTGTCGAAAGCATGAAAAGGAGAAAAAGAGAACTCTCTGAGTCCCACCAAAGGCCTATTTCTTCAAATGAAGGTTTTACTGATGGGCAAATTCCTTTTGAGCCGTATGAAAAGAACCGTGACGATGTCTCTCGAGAAAGTGCAAGGCCTCGCAAACTCAGAGCATCAGGTCCAAGTGAAACGGGAACGTCTTGAGCTAACAAGAAGATTGGTGAGACAACTCCGTGAGGTAAGTAAGGTGGGTGAAGCTTTGACAGCATTTCCTAAGGCGCATGTTGCGATTTACAGTAAGGATGACAGCACAATCGCTAACAAGCGAAATAAAGTTTGAAGATCCATCCCCATTTGTACTGATTATAAAGTAATTAAAATGGACTCTTACAAGTCTGGCTTTTGGGTGTCAGAGGAAGGTTGCATAATCCTTTTTTTGATAGTCAGGTACACCTTAGAGTAGTATATCTCATTTTGGCACAAACCCTGAGAGCGAATTGATGTCATCTGTATAGTCAAAAAAATTCTAACAGAGCCTCACTAGATACTATCTCGATGATTACTACAGATCTAGAAATCTAAAAAGACTGTGTAGCAAAGAATAATGTGATAGATATCGTGAAAAGTGAAGGTGAGAGCAAAGTGCAAGATATCAATATTCCAGTCATGGATTTAACTAAAAGCAGGTATTCTGATGAACTAGACATAAACAATGATATCTAAGGACATCTAACCCAAGAACACTCATATTTTTTTTCTTAATATGAGACTGTGATCATAGGCTATAAGGATCTTGGCATATATGATGGCAAAAGGTCTATTTATTTCTCCAGTGGATGCAAAAAGCAGAAAGAATAATTGCTGGTCAAGACAGGAATAAATCTACAAGTTCGAATGACAAAACAACTGAAATAAAATTACACTATACGTTTCCAGAAATCTTGGAATCGAAAGCGCCAATACGACCCAAAAATGAAAAGTGCAGAAAATTGTATGCAATCGTAACCTCGACCGGAGAGCCATTCATTATTGACGTTGGTGCTTCAGGCAGTAGCGATGATGAAAGCTCATCAAGCTCATCTTTCCAATAAAAGATGTCGTTCATCAAATTCGGTAAGTTATAAGTAATTATAAAGCTACTGTATTTTTTTATTAATTATTGACATTTCTGAACCCATTTTGGCAAAACCTATTCAAGAATCTACTTTCTGACAATGTTCAACCATGCACATTTTTTACGTTTTGAACGTTTTAATTTGGTTACATATTTACCTAGAAATCAAAAAATATACTAATCAATATTCTAAAAGCACTTTTAAGAGATATACGATTATTTTTAATTTAGGCTAATTTAAACGCCATTTTGAGATTATATTCGACTGTATTTCAAAAAACATCAGGCGGCATCCGAAGCTGGAAATCGAAGCGAAAATTTTGAAACCCTTATGTATATTTACATCATTATATATATCGAAAGAGTCGATACGACCCACTAAAGAAACGTGAAGAGAATTGTACGCAATCGTAGCGTCGAACGGAGATGTGCCCGTTTAAAAAGAAAAAAATCATCTGATATCGTAGTGAACAAAATGAGAAAAGGCTTCTGATTCAAGTGAAGGAGAACGATGGGCATCAGCATGGGCAAATTTTTGTCGAAAGCATGAAAAGGAGGAAAAGAGAACTCTCTGAATTCCACCAAAGGCCTATTTCTTCAAATGACGGTTTTACTGATGGACAAATTACAAGAGAGATTGGTGAGGCAACCTCGTGAGCAGTAAGGTGGGTGAAACTTTGGCGGCATTTCCTAAGGCGGATGGTGCGATTTACAGTAAGGCTGTTAAAGTAATTAAAATGGATACGCTTACCAGTCCTGCTTTTGGGTGTTAGAGGTAAGTCAGATGACGTTGCATATTACTTTTTGTGATAGTCATGTACACCAATAGTATATCTCATTTTGGCAAAAACTGTGAGAGCGGATTGATGTCGTCTGTATAGTCAAAAAAGATTCTGATAGAGCCTCACTAGATAGTATCTCGATGATTACTACAGATCTAGAAATCTAAAAAGACTGTGTAGCAAAGAATAATGTGGTAGAAACCGTAAAAAGTGAAGGTGAGAGCAAACTGCAAGCAGATATCACTATTCCAGTCATGGATTTAGCTAATAGCAGGTATTCTGATGAACGAGACAATGACAATGACATCTAACCAAAAAGCACTATTTTTTCTTTTAAATATGAAACGATGAACACAGGCGATGAGAATTGTGGCATGTATGATGGCAAAGGATATATTTATCACCCCAGAAGATGTAAAGAGCAGAAAGAAGTATTTCTGGTCAAGACAGGAATAAATCTACAAGTTCGAATGACAAAGCGACTCACATAAAAGTCGGCTATACGTTCCATGAAATTCTAGAATCGAAAGAGTCAATACGACCCAATAATGAAACGTGCAGAGAAAAGGATGATACTTCATCAAAGAGGGTGTCTATGAAAGATGAATCACTGGAGTAACCTAATAGTCTGGCTGGTAAAAAGAAAGACATGATCGTAACTGATCAGAGGTCAAGAAGAATATCAAGAATCTTGTTCATCAAAGGATACCGCGCATGTGTCAAGACAATGGGGTTTCAAAGTCCTCTAAAGGCCATGTCTCTGAAAAGGACGCAACCAACTCTTTGCAAACCAGTTCCAGTTTGCAATCCAAATGAGGGCAAGCTTGAGGACCGGCAAAGTAGTAAATCTCTCAAAGGCCCTTCTAATAAGGATGACGTTAGAAATGCTACATTAAAAGGAAGCATTGTACGTAACCGTCGCGTCGAACGGAGATGTGCCCGTTTAAAAAGAAAAAATCATCTGATATCATAGCGAACAAAATGTGAGAAAGCTTCTGATTTAAGCGAAGGAGAACGATGGGCGTCAGCATGGGCAAATTTTCGTCGAAAGCATGAAAGGGATGAAAAGAGAAGCCGCTGAATCCGACGAAAGGCCTATTTCTTCAAATGAAGTTTTAACTGATGGACACATTCCTTTTGTCAGGGCATCAGGTCCAAGTAAAATGGAAGGATCTTCATTTAACAAGAAGACTGGTGAGGCAACAAATACCAAGAAAAGCGGGGTTTTGGCTTCACGCAGCTTCGTGAGCAGTGAGGTGGGTGAAGCTTTGTCAGCATTTCCTAAAGGGGATGGTGCGATTTACAGTAGGGGTGGCAATACAATCGCTAACAAGCGAAATAAAGTTTGAGGATCCATCTTCAGTTGCACTGATGTTAAAGTGGTGAAATCGATACGCTTACCAGTCTGGTTTTTGGGTACCAGATGTGAGTCACATGATGTTGAATATTACTTTTTGATAGCCATGTACACCTTAGCGCAGTATATCTTATTTTGGCAAAAAATTGCGAATTGACGTCATCTGTATAGCCAAAAGATGATACAATCTCGATGAGTACTACAGATCTAGAAATCTAAAAAGACTATGTAGCAAAGAATAATGTGATAGAAACAGTGAAAAGTGAAGGTGAGGGCAAACTGCAAGCTTATAGCAGTGTTCCAGTCATGGTGTTAGAGTTATTTGGGTTAGCTTTCTTTTATGGCGAGTATGAGTTATCGCTTGCCTAACCCGCCTGCGTGCGCTGCTAGGACAATAAAAAGAAGAGGGATACTAGCTCATAGTGTGAGACAAGGACAATGATATCTAATGACATGTAACCAAAGATCACTAATTTTTTTCTTCTATATACGACACGATGGACACAGGCGATAAGTATTTGGCATGTATGATGTAGATGTAAAAAGCAGAAAGTAGTATTGCTGGTTAAGATATTTGGTTATGACCGAAATAAATCGACAGGTTCGAATGATAATTCAACTCGAATAAAATTAGGCTATTCCTTCAAGACGAACCAATAGTGGAACGTTTAGAAAAAATGGTGACACGTCATCAAAGAGAGTGGACATCAAAGGTAAATCACTAAAGTTATCTGATAATGTGGCTGGTAAAAAAGGGAGGCATGATCATCAGAGCTTAAGATGGAGAATATGAAGAATCTTGATCATGTAAAGAAACCGCGCATGTATCAAGATAACTGAGTTTCAAAGTAAGAAAAAAGAAACCACTGAACATCACCAAAGACCTATTTCTTCAAATGTAGGTACTACCTATGAACAAATTTCTTTTGAGCCGCCATGTCTCTCGAGAAAGTACAAGGCCTATGCCTGCAGAGCCCGGAGCTGCATCCGGAGGTTCCAGCAGCACGACAGAATATAGAGCCAGAGCACAGCCGACGTCAACTACGAGCCGTGAACAAAGAAATCTGGCAACGTAGGTGGTAGTGTTACTCCCGCCGCTGCTTGCTGCATCGACGCAACTCGTGTTCAAAACGCTGAGAAAACATAACCTTTTCAATTTGTGATTTGTGAATCCCAGAGGCTGTAATTAAGAGATAAGCTTGTTTTCTTAGCTTCAAAGTGTGTGTATGTGTTCAAAGCGATCGGTGACTATAATATATGAGAAATAGACTCCAGTTGTAGTACTTCTGTGCTTTAAAATAAACTAAGAAGTGTGACTGTGGCTGTTCGCGCCTCAGGACGCTAAGGATTTCAACTATTGAAAACGTGCAAATTCAGGTTGTATTTTTCTTTTTTCATTTATCAAGTATTTGACGCAGACAATATGCCTCGTTGTTGCTGTGTTCCTTTATGCAATGCAAACTATAATTCTGCTTTGAAAACAGAAAGCTTATGTTTCAACTTTTCGCTTCCCAAGTACCGAAAGTCTGAAAAACAAATGGTTTATGGCAATTCCCAGAAAAAACTGGACACCTTCAAAATATTCAGCTGTTTGCAGTCGTCATTTTAGAGAATCGGATATCATCAGGACAGAAAATATAGTTTTGGGGGATGGAACAGTCCAAAATAATATATAAATATCCAAAATTGGAAGAAAATGCTGTTCCCTCCATTTTCCCAAACTTGCCATCATCTTGTAACGGTTTCACCGTCCGATCGTATTTATTAAATCACTTCTCGATTATCATTTCATTAACCCCATCTCTAGCTTTTTTGCTTGGAAAATTTTCCGCTTGGAGCGCTTGATGCGGAGTTCCTCGCGCTTCCTTTTGACTTGAGCCGCCGATCGAACAACGGCTAGAAATTTCTTCTCTGTAGCACAAGGTTATATAGCACCATGTGCTAGAATTTTCTAGAATGTGTGTCCGTATAGGACAAAAATGATTGGGGCCACCCCCTTTCTCTTTCCCTTTCACTTTGCCTAGCCTTGGCCAATATTTTCACCCATGCATGTACCTTGGCAGCGCCATCGCCTTTAACTTCGCCTACAACTGGTTGTGAAGCCACTATATGGAGGTCACCCCTCATAACTGGGACCTCCCCTTCAAGCCCCTGGCCATCCTGGCTTCAGTCGAGTAAAAATGGACCAGCGAAAGATAAGTCGATAGCGTTATAGCAGCGCCAAAGATGTAAAACTTATTTTGTTATTTTTGTAAAATTGTAATGTAATGAAAATGCCTTTTTTTGTTAAATAAAATCTGTTAAATTTTTGTGTTCTGCTTGTTCTTCTATCCTCTAGCCATGCCATGGTCGACACACAGCTACACGCCTGTAGATGTCTTCATGCCACCGACTGAGCTACCGGAAGCTAATTGTAACCCCCTTTCTGTGATTGTGCAGAAAAGTTGGAATCTTCATTGCATTCCATCTTTTCTGGACTTTTTGCGGAAAGGAAGCGTTACATAAATTGGCACCCGCAACGTGAGGCTTCGATAGGTGTTTGGCTTTGTCGACAAGTGGTTTGCTAGTGG